TTTTTTTTTTTTTTTTTTTTTTTTTTTTTTTTTTTTAAATGATTAATACTTTGATATAATGAAACCATTAATATCTATTTCTTTGACAACTGATCTTTAGTCACAATTTTCTTGTACTAGTTTGGAATCGTCCATATTATATTGTGTATAGAAGCGGTTGATTTATTAATCTACCTTTGAACGACGTAGATTGCTTTTCACCCCAAATTTTTGGCTTCTCGGGTTGAGAAAGAGAGGCGGGCAATTTTGTCAGAACTACAAATGATGAATACGATAGAGTACCGTGTTGATTGCCAGGTACTCTTTAATTGTTGCTAGATACATTACGTTAAGTTTGTCTTATTTTTCAAAATTTTATGTTTATCTTCACCCAATTTTTCTTCTTCTTTGTTGGCATAGTTGTTGCAGCACTTGCACTCTGAGAACAAGTTGAGTAAAAGGTTTCCGATAGGATTAGAGGAGCAGATTAAGAAATGGGATGCTGATAAAATCAGGAAATTCCATGAGCGCTGGTACTTCCAGGAAATGCTACACTATACATTGTTGGGGATATTGATGACATTGCTGATACGGTTAACCACATCGAAGTACGTTGCTATCAATTTGTTAAGGGTGCAATTGCATAGTAAAGAGTGGGTGAAAGAGTACAATTTTTTTTTGGGTGGAAAAATGGAATATCTTTTATATTGTAAATGGATATGAGATAAATGTAAAGAATAAAGTTGATTTGATATAAAAAAAAGTAAAAATAATGAAGGGAAATGATTGGTAGTTGAAAATGTGAGTTGATGAATTGTGATTTTTTTTGCATTGTGTGGTAATGTTTGTTTGTTTGTTTTTTTTTTTTTTTTTTATTTAGTTTTGTTGATAAGATTGTGGAGATAAAAGTGGGACTTGATGATTTTATTATTATTGTTTTTTAAAAAAATTGTATCTCGTCGTACTTCCGATGAAAAGAATTATTCAGCGAGACAAAATTGAAAATAATTTATATCCAATTGCTTCCTATCTGTCTCGAGACGGTGTTGACATGTGACACCTGACACAATATTATACTTTTTGTCTTTGCTCATACTGTCACTTTTGAATTAATTTTAAATTTTCAAGAATTTCACAGGCAGTTTTTGGGCAGACTGGCACACAAACTGAGGCATCTGTTGCACCTACAACTAGTGCTTTTGGTGCAATGGCCAGTTTTCTCGTTCCTAAGTTGTCAGTTGGGCTTTCTAGTGGTTTAAATCAGGAAAAACTACTTGGTTCTTTCGAGCAATCAAAAAATTTTAGAAAGGAAAGGCATGCTGTACGCCCTCCTGTTCAACATGATTGGTCCTTTCCTGGAAGCTATGCAGATGCAAAGCCTCCTCAGATATTTCAGCATGAGTTGCTTCAGCATTTCTCGATTAATATGTTCTGCAAGGTTATTCTTTCTGGCACTAAACATTTTGCTGGTCTTCTACACATTACTGGAGCTTCTCTGTTCGAATTTCTATTATAGTTTCCTAGAAAGAATTTCTTCCCCTTTTCCTTTTCATGTTCGTAATTGTTTATATTTTTGTGTGTTGGGTTTTTAGCTGCTATTGGAATCAGAAAGCATCCTTTTATTTGTAACCAGTATATGTTTCGACATAATTGTTTAGTTGGACAAGGTTAACGTTAAGGAAGAATACTTCAAGTCAGCTTATAGTTTGAAACTGGAACTTCATTGTAGTATTTTGCTAAGAAGCATGTGCAAAGTTGATCTAGTGGCTGGTAATGGAATAGCTTAAAACAGTAAAAGTGTCTATTACTTTGCGTGTATATTGCTGATTCATTTTGTGAGCTATAGTCTTCACCTATACCATAGCTTATTAGTGTCTTAAATTTATGTGCACATGTATGATTTGATATTTTTGTGTATTTTCAGTTTTTATTTCACCTGCTAATGAAGTTGAGGTGAAGGGGCCATTTTGTTGAAAGCTCATTGATGATGAGCTGTGTGCAGATTATATTTTACAATTGATTGATTTGAATTCTACATAATATGATCGAATTTCACGGTGAATCAACAAGAGAACATTTCATACATTTGAAAGTATCTGTTGTATTTTGTCTCGTATGAACAATCTTTAACTCAAGTATTTGTGAAGGACTTCAGGCGGGGAAGGATTTAATTTCCTTGTTAGTTGGAAGTTCAAGCATTTATACACTTCAGTTACTCAATGTTGGCCATCATATGGATATAAGCCCACTATTTGTTTCATTCCAATTGAACCAACTTCATACCTTTGAATTGCATCTATTAGTTCTCCCTATGTAATTTCCTAGTTGGTACCATCAGTAATTGTGCTTATTTGATATTATTTTGGAGCTCTATTTATTTAAAAGATGTAACAGATTATTTTTCTTTTATGATTATTTATTTCATAATGCATATTTTTTTTTCCAGATACCTGTTAACAAGGTCCGTACTTACAGAGATTTGCGGATGGTGCTGATGAAGAGGATATTTCTTTCTGCTTTGCATTTCCGCATTAATACAAGATATCAGGTGCGCCATTTTCCACATTAGTTGGCGTTGGTGCAAGGATGAATTTGTCTGGCAAATGTATATTATGGCGCACGTGCTCAAGTTAAATCTTCTTGTTTCTGCATGTTTTTTTTTTTTCTTTTTTTCTTTTTTTTTTTTAATCAATAATTGAATATAAAGTAAAAGAAGTAACACGAGATGCTATTTTATAAAATACGATGGTCTTCTTTCTCAACACGTAAAATAAGAACTTTTGCAGCAAAAGGTATGTTATGGAAAGTTTAAGGCATGCATGTTTGGAAATACTCCCTTGTGAATTTTGCGTACTTGTTAGGGCCAAAATGGAATCAAATTATCTTTGTTTCACATCTTCTGTTCCCATTAATGGATTCTGCTGCTAATAAACTGACAAAACAATTTACTTTTTTGAATTCAATGTTTAGTGGCTTCTGATGTTGTTTTGATTGAATATTTCAGAGTTCAAATCCCCCATTTACCTCAGTGGAACTGGACCACAGTGATTCAGCAAGAGAGGGGTGTACTGTTACCTCTCTTACAGTGACTGCAGAACCTCAAAACTGGGAAAATGCAATTAAAGTTGCTGTGCAGGAGGTTCTCTCTCTCTCTCTCTCTCTCTCTCTCTCTCTCTCTCTCTATCTCCCTCCCTGCCCCCCTCTTTCTCCCTCTTCTCTCTGTGTGTGTACGTAAATTCAACCTTGCTGGCATTTGCCATCTGTTTTCAGGTGAAATTTGTTATCTTGAAACAGTTTTGTATGTTTTACTTAGTTCTTTGATCTCTCTACA